ATGTATTTTAATGTGAGATGGCCGAAAATACATTGGGAAAAATACAAAACATAATTTGATTTTTTACCTAATAATATATTTGATTTTATAATCAAATATTTGATTAACAAAAGGATATTTGTCTTGTTGTGTTGGTTGGGGACATTACACTAATCTTATTTTGTTTTGTCCCTAAGCAAATTCCTAGAAATTCCTTAATGTATTATGTTATAAAATGAGAAAAAATCCCTCCCCATTTGATGAGTGATTTTCGGCCATAGAGAGAGAAAGGAGAAAAATATATTATTTTGTGTTCCAAGTTATTTTTCTAAAGTGTTAGAAATATACACAAAATATTATAAAGAAATATTTATAAGATAAATATTTTACTATATATTTATTACTCCCAAAGTAGTATTATTATAGTTTTACTATCCTATATTAAACTTGCTAGCACAAGTTTAATCTAGGACTCCGGAGCAAGTTCGTGTGGATACGTTGGAGGCTTCATACGTTTGGCGCTACGTTCATCTCCTCAAAACCATCCCCGACCGTTTCTTTGTTCTTCGTTTTTCACCGTTAAGGTAAATTTCTTACTATAGCTAGTAATTTACGTAAGTTGTTCTTGGGTGGAATCGAGTTTTGGACTATAAACTTTTGTTTTCCGCTGCGTTATCCAAGCCTCGTTTCCCAACACGTTAACTGTGCCAACAAGGTATTTCATGATCCGTTTCACCGCCGTTAAGTGCGATTCCTTCAGACACGTTGACACCTTGTGCAAAGGCATACGCTAAACATGATATCCAGCCTACTAGCGGTTAGATAAAGAAGGGATCCGATCATACCTCGATACTTTTTGACCTCTACTTCCTTACCTTTTTCATCTTTGTCAAGATGGTCGGATGTGCTCATCGGGGTCACCATGGCTTTGGAGTTTTCCATTTCGAACCGTTTTATGAGTTCTTTGTTAGCCTTGGTTTGCTAAGCCTCGTGTTTTGATGTTAACAAACAATATAAGAGTTTAATGTTTGTTTAAGTGTTTCAGGTACAACAAGAATCCATTAAGATTCGGTTCTCAAGAATGAAGTCGAAACACTAAACTAGCGTAGAATATAGGTAGAAATCGATGTAAGGATATGATTTTATATACCTATATTCACAAGCTCAAAAACACTCACAAAATATGTTTAAAACCCTTTTATAATCATTTTCAAACATCCAAAAGGTTTTAAATAAAATTTGAAACGATTTGGACAAAAATGAAAAAATTGTCAAAATGGTCACTAGGTACCTAGGTACCGTAAGCACGGGACCCCCCTACCGTCTGGACGGGACCCCTCTACCATAAGGGGTACCGTAAGAGGATAGGTACCGCCAGAGAGTTTTGGCCTGAGAAGGTACCTAGCTACCGTAAGCACGGGACCCCCCTACCGTTCTGTTAGAATAATAGACCAACGCTAGAGGGGGGGGTGAATAGCGTTTGATCAAGAAATCGCAGAAATTAAAAATAAATAGAAGAGAAGTAAAGAGAAGAGTAAGAGGCACACCGAATTTACCCTGGTTCACCACAACTTGTGGCTAATCCAGCCTCCCAAGAGACTCTCTCGAGCTACACTACTATCTCGTTATTTTCTGGAATTTAGAAAATCAAATTTCTAACATTCTGGAAATTTAAAGTATTTTATTATTTTTAATTAAATTACTTGCTAGTTTAATTAATTTATTATTGATAGTTTATTCCGTAGAATAGAATAAACTAGGTCTGGGGCGAGCGCGGTTCGCCCGGTGTATGCTTTAATATGTATGATGTGATGCATGTGATGCTTGTATGTATTATTGCATGGTGGATGATTGTGGCTTAGTTATATTTGTTGTAATTTTAAATACGGCCTACGTGTCGTGCCTCATCTCTATACTCTGGATGTAATTCTCTTCTTTACCTCAAATATTCTTTTCTCTCGAAAATTATAAGAAGATAAGAAGACGAAGTCCGTTCGTGATAGAGAATCCTAAGGAAGACATGATGGGCCGGAGATAGAGATCTCTTGATCAAGGCGCTGTCGTTTGTTTTTCTTTAGGAGCCACAATCATTTCACGTTTACTTATTATGCATGTGATGTATGATTGAATGTATGCATGTATGTGATTTTCGCTAGTGCATACGCGCGGTGTATGCCATAGGCAAGACTGCGTAATAAATCCCTCATAAATTTAAGTCTGTGCCACCCTGACGCCCCGTCACTCGTCAAACCCAATTTAGATCGGTAACGGACTCACCCAAGTGAGACGCCCGGTTTATGTTGGTTAGGCGCGAAACCCGTAACTTGGGTACTGACTCGCCCCGGATTAGTCTTAACTAAGTCTTGGTCATAAGGATGAGAGACTTAGGGCACTACGGTAGGATCAATAAATAAAATCAGATCATCCAACCAGAGTTGTAAATTGTTACAATTGGAATTTATTCCTACCAGAAATAATTTAACTGTAGGGCAAGATGCAAAGCACAACTATAGTTAAATGAAATATGGATCTGGCCCAATTAAGAATTTTATTTAAAAGAATCCACCGAACCAAGAGTTGTAATAACGATTGCAATTGGAATGAATTCCTACCTAAATAACTTGACTGTAGGGCAAGATGCAAAGCACAACTATAGTTAAGTAAAATATGGATCTTGGCCCGCTAGGGTATTCTTCAAATAGAAACCCCAAGTCAATAGGTTCCGTACCTGAGGGTAATTGACTTGTTAGAAATAGTGGGAGAGTATTTAATAAAGACCTATTAAATACTTAATTCATGATAATAACTATCTTCGTAAAATTCTGTAGATGGCAAACAACAACAACACAAACAACCTCGCCCTGCGTTCCATTCTGGATAAAGATAAATTGAATGGAACAAACTTTGTTGACTGGCAACGCAATCTCTCCATTGTTCTCCGCATGGATGAGAAAGAGTATGTGCTCGAAAAGCCCATTCCTCCTGCCCCTCTCGCTAACGCCCTGAAAGTGGTTAAAGATGCCTACGAGAAACACGTTAAGGATGATAACCAGGTTAGCTGTGTCATGCAAGCAACCATGATAACCGAGCTGCAAAAACAGCACGAGGACATGAAGGCCCACGAGATGATCGTGGCCTTGCGGCAGCTATACCAGGGGCAATCCAGGCATGAACGTTTTCTTGTGAGTAAGGCTCTCTTTAGTTGCAAGCTCTCTTCAGGGAACCCGGTCGGTCCACACGTTCTCAAAATGATTGGTTACATAACCAATCTGGAGAAACTCGGGTTCTCCTTGCAGAAGGAGCTGGCAACGGACCTGATCCTGCAGTCGCTCCTTGGGCTGTATAAGGGTTTTGTCATGAACTACATGATGCATGATCTTGACAAACCCCTTCCGGAGCTTCTTAAAATGCTCTAGACTGCAGAGGAGAACCTTACTAAGGGCAAGGGTGCTTCCGTCCTTATGGTCCAAGGCAGAAAGGGGAAGCCGAAGAAAGGGATTAAGATTAAGGCTAGGACGGTCGGAAAGCCTAAATCGAAGTCCACTTCATCTGCAACCCGAAACCCGTAGGAGGAGTTGCAAAGGGCAAATGTCATCACTGTGGTAAGGCAGGCCACTGGAGAAGAAACTGCAAGACATACCTCGCAACCAAGAAGAAGGAAGGTATGACCATTTCTTCTGAGGTGTATGTTATAGAAGTTAACATGTCTATATCTTCATCATGGGTACTAGATACTGGATGTGGGTCTCATATCTGTACTACCATGCAGGGACTGAAGCAGAGTAGACGGTTAGCTCGAGGCGAGATTGAACTCCGAGTCGGCAATGGTGCACCTGTTGCAGCTTTGGCAATCGGAACTTATAGT